TTTAGTTAATTGAAGGTAATTTCTTGGCAAAATTAAAGTGTTAGGCGAGAGAAAACTAAAACGAAGAATAGAGAGAGAGAGAGAGGATGAATGATTTAAAATCATGGTTTTGATCGAAATTTAGGGTGTTGTTTACGGGCTTTGGCCCGACTCAAAGAGAAATAAAAGGGGAGTCAGGTGATTTCGACTTAGCCCGGCTCGATGCAAAAAAAAAAAAAAAAGAAAAGAAAAGGGGTTTGGCTGATTTTAGCCCGACCCGCACCCTTTCTCCAAAAAAAAAAAAAAGAGGCCCGACCCGATGCTAAAAAAAAGAGAGTAAAAGTGGTAGGTTAATATTTTAGGTATATGATTTTTTTTATTACTTTTATTGTTCATTTATTTTTAACTCTGTTTATATAGGATGATTTTTTTTCTTTTATGATTTATTATTATTATTATTAGCCCGTTTATTTTTATTCCTTGTCGTTTTTTTTTAATTTAGAATTACTATTTCAATTTTTTATTGTCTTCTTTTCTTTAATATACATTGTTTTTTTTTAAAAAAAAAATCTTGACGAAGTCTCCTATCCGATAGGGATCGACGTCATAAAAAAAAAAAGCCTACAAATTTCGTCGAAGCCTCCTATTTGATAGGGGCCGACGTCATCAAAATCACTTTTAATTAAGACGTCCTCCGACACGCCGGTTGGGTCGAGGCTTTTAGTGGATCCGATGTTTGAATCGACGTGTCACCCAACGAAGGGGATCGACGATCGTTTCAATATGATGTCACGCCCAAAACTAAAAAAATTATTTAGGCTAAGAGACGGGAGATTAAAATTTAGAAAATAGCTTGACATGGATTTTAGGAGATAATTCAAAACTAAACCGCACATGATACCTTTTTTCGAAAAGGGCGTTTTTAGGTGATTTAATATCTTTCTAAAAGCGTAACCAACTCCTTACCTTAGGAATCTTTGAACCGGTGCTACTTTTAGGTTCCTAGTTCCTTAAATACTAGGTGGCGACTCCGGTAAATAATTTTGTGATTAATTAACGCCCGAACACGTAATTTTTTCTTTTGGGGGGTCTCGTCCAGAGCGTCGCGTAGCGACAAAAGTCATTAAAGATGGTTTAGAAAAGTGTAACAATAGTATATCTAGTGTTTATGATTGGAAGAAACGAGTGTTTATTACGGGATCTTTCATATCGAGTTCGAATCTAATTTGAAACTATTTGGATGTGATGTACATTGAAAAAAATATCTTCGACAACTAGGTTTAATATAGTTATGAGTGTGTTGGAGAAAACCAAAGACAATGTCAACTCTAGAGAAGACTTGAAACTTTATTATCGATAGCTAGAATTAGAAAAAGATGAAGACTCGAAAAATATCCTAAAATGTGTTACACCCTAGAAAAACAATCAAAAATACAAATGCTTGAATGGTTTAAACAACTCAAGTTTTCCGATGGATATGTGTCAAACTTGGCTTGGTGTGTCGATATAAACAATCTCGGATTACATGACATGAAGAGTCATGAATGTCATGTATTTATACAAAGATTAATACTTGTCGTATTTCATTACCTATTACCGGGAAATGTTTGACAAGCACTTACCGAATTGAGCTTATTCTTTAAGAAATTAACTTCTACTCGTCATTAAGGTTGAAGATATAAGACATCTTGAGATAGAGATAACTTTAATTTTGTGCAAAATTGAATGTACATTTCCATTGGGTTTCTTCAAGTCAATGGAACATCTTTTAGTCCACTTGGCATATGAAGCAAAAATAGCATGACCGAGTGCAATATCGATAGATGTATCCATTTAAAAGGTAAATTAAGATATTGATTTTGAATCTTTGATTAATTTTTTAAAAAATATATTTTTTGTAACATAGGTATAAATGCAGGTATCTTCATAAATTTAAAAATAATATAAAGAATAAAACAAGAGTTGAAGGGTCAATATACAATGCATATTTAGTGAAAGAAGTGTCAATATTTTGTTCATACTACTTTGAACCTCATGTGCATACCAAGAATCGAAAAGTGCCATATGACTTTAAGTGTGCTCGAGAATCAAATGATGACATTGAAGGGATGCTTGCTATGTTCAAATTGAAAGGTTGATCTCTTGATTGAGCAAAATCACATATGTTGACAAATGAAGAAAAGCTTACGTCTCATACTCGTATTTTATTGAACTGTGATGAGGTGACACCTTACACCGAGTAAGCGTTAAAATTAACAAAAGTTTCAATCCTCAACTTTATTAATTATCAATGATATATAATAAAAACATTAAAAATCTTAAAATTATTATTCCTTTGATAGCTATTTTATGAGCCAACTTCATCAAAGTAATCCCGACATATCGACGCAAGAGGTTAATGCTCGGCTTAAAAATGATTTTACATCATAGTTTCATTGATATATGAGTATCATAAATTTTGAATTCATTTTATTAGTAAGTTGTAATGATGAAATGTTATACTAGTAGTAAGGAATAGATTTTTACTTTACGAGCAACTAATGTACAACCCAACTCGACACCGACTATTACTTTAAAGATCTTGTAAAAAAGCCCTTACTAACAACAAAGTTATATCCGGGATACATTGTAAGCAGGTATAAGTTTCACATCAAAGGCCATGGTTTAGATAGAGCAATAATGTATAATGGAGTATGCATAAAAGAAGTTAATTACAAGGTTAAGGAAAATGACTACTATGATAAGTTAAGCGATATACTATAACTTGAGTATCCTATATTACCCATTAAGAAAAGCTGTATTGTTCAAATATGATTGGTATGATACTTTATCCGACAATGGTATAAGGTCTCATGATCATTATGGACTAGTAGAGGTACGTAGTTGTAGCATGTCGAATAGATTCGATCTCTTTACCCTAATAACTCAAGTGCATCAAGTGTATTATGCTATATATCCTACCTCAAAATACATCGAGTGCGATTGGTTGGTTGTATGCAAGGTAAAATTAAGAGTGGTGGTGGATGTTCCAAAATCATTTGTTACGGTCCAAAAAATATAAAACCATTTCGGAAAAACGATTTGGAAGCCTAACACAATGTTATCCAAATTGATGACGACGAGGGTCGATCATGGACTAATCCAACTAAATCTTTGACAAATTTAAAAGGAGATGAAATTAATGAAAAGAATGGTGCTGAATTTGAAATAGTGGTAGAGGAAGACTTAGACGAATATTGTAACAATGATGACTAAGATAATGATTAGCGATAAGGTTGGATTGTCCTTCCTAGTTTAGTTGAAATTGTTAAGGTAACATATATGTGTGCATGTTTTAATTTAATTATAAAAATATTTATTGATCTTACGAGTAAATGTGTTTTAACTTGTTTATGGTAATAGAGATGTTTTATAGTTGTTGTGTTTGATTAACAAAATAATAAGATAATGTGTAGGTTATACCTCGTAGTAAGAGATGTTCCCTCATGCAATCGACCAAATCGGATGGTGAGGGTTGTGGCATATATACTAACGGTGGGATTGGTCGTGGCTATGGACGTAATTCTACTTTCGTTCTAGGTCGTATGGTTGCTCCTCTTGATATTGGTGTATTCCTTTCTACGGCTCCCGAGTCATACTCATCATTGTTTGACATTCTCGGCTCGAGCTCCATCGGTTTAGACCACATGTCGGCGCTTTTGAACTTTTTATTATCATTAGGGCCCACTCTCCAACTAAATGAGCATCGGTACCTACATATAACCCTCTCCATACGTCCTTTTTGATATATCTTCTATATTAATATAAGTGCTTAAGATCCAATATATATAGATGAATTTTCTAAGATCAAGTGCGGTTAATACATCTAGATTTAATGTATACAAAACTTTAGGATCAATTTACTAAGATCAAGTAATTCTTACTAGGAAAGAATTGATAAATTTTCTAAGATCTAAGTAGTTCTATACAAGGAAACAAGAAAGTCTCAACACATTGCTTCCACCAATTGGAGACTGCAAATGGGAAAATTCTAGCGTCATCATGCAACTGCCACATTGACCTTCTTTCATTTTTCATTAGGGGTCCAATTGAATACTTTATTCCTAAATCTCCAACCCCTCAAACGGCTAACTTGACTTTTTATGTTATGCAAATGTACACGTCAACTTGAGTTTTATATATCCTGAAGTCGTACTAATGGCTTTTTTTTTTTCAAGAACCGTTACACTAATAGAGCAGCATCGGCGTCAAAGTAACGAATGGGTTTGACGAATCTAAACCCAGACTGACAGGCCGATTCTAACCAATTTAAACCCAGTCCAAGCCAGCAAAAACTGGTGCAGAAATTTTTTTTCAATTTCATACACTCGAATCCCTGTTACCAATTTGGCAAAAACTCCTGGTACAAAATACCCTCATCAAGGTTATATTTCTCGTCAACTTACAACCAGTAGACTGGCCCCCCCAAAAAAAAAAAACACAACAAAACATAAGAGAATGATTAAAAAGAGATAGAGAGAGCGACAGAGAGTGAGATGAGAAGAACTTCATGCTTTAAAATCCCAGCCTAGGCCTGCGTTGGCACAGGGGCAACGTATATATGATCGCTCCTATGAAAACACTGAAACACATGCTGTTTACATATAAAAATTAGTATTAATTACTTTTGTGTATGCCCAAATTCACGTGAGATCAATTTAATAAATATGATCCGTTGACCTATATGAATGTGATAACCTCAGATAAATACCAAAGTGGATCTCTTAAAAATCAACAATCCAGCTCCTCAATTTTGCTATTTATATCCCGGACCTGATTCCAAGAGTGGTGTTCAAACAGCAACAAACAGAAATACAGATCATTTGCTTGACAAAGGTAACTCAGCAAATAGCATGTGATCTCGACCGCAAATCACAACCTCACAGGGCTGTATGTGATGCTAGTACTCAAGTAGCTCCCTTATACCGGTACTACTAACTAAATAAACTTGCAGTCAACAACCCATGCAGGTTCGTGTAGACTCAATCACCAGGTACATGAGTTTTATCCTCATAATACCTCCTCTCACTTTCTGCCTTCTTCTGATTACGTTTCTGCATACAAAAGATGCACTTCTGTGAGCTTGAACCAGAACAATAAGTATGCACCAAATAAGTATCTAATCCCTATAGCTCCAACAAGATCAACCAATCTTGAGAAACAAGTAGCTTTTACGAGCATGTCTCCCTAAGCAAAAGACTCGCTACAATTGGTAGGGGGATAGGTGAACCTGATATGCTTCATGATTTGATACTATCCTCCTAATTATCGTGGTTGTTGTAATATCCAAAGGGCTATCCAAAACTTTGAAGATACCCATACTGATTGGCACAGCATATGGGTTGTCTAGTTCCTGTAATTCAAAAAGAAAGCGTGTCAGCAAATTCTGAATTAGTAGGTGATTGTGAGCATTCAGTGCTACCAGGCTTCTAGCTATATATGTATGATTTACCTTCTGAAATTCATTGTTCTCTGCAACTGTCCCATGAACAACTGTAGAGATGTTGAAGGTTGTGATCTACTTTCACCAATAATTTGTATTAAGTCAAGAAAAGTCAGCTAAAAAGGCTAAACAAGAAATTAAAAAGTTGACTAATTTAAAGATAACAAGAAGCATAAGCAGAAAAAGAAACAAGAGAGAAAAAAGGAAGACAATCATAACAGACGAAAAAGAGAGAAAAGGAAGGCAATCATAACAGACCTCACACATCTCACTCGACACTGCTAGTGACTACCAGAGCAAAACTTTCTTAAGCATGATGCACCAAGAACTACGATAAAACAATATGAGAACTTCTAGGAGTCAGTTTTGCAAGTTTCAAGGCAGTTTGAGGTCATCTTCCCTCAAGACAGCAAAGACCAGCTGACAGAGCTAACAAAGTTCCAAGACTAGAAAATATAACAAGCTCAATCGATAACATTTAATATTACAGATCACCACCACCAAGCAGGGCAATGCTTCATAATGGCCTTCTCCCCCTTCGTTGAAAGAGAGAGAAGGGCCCTTTGTCGTTCATTTACTTATTTGCACTGGAATAATCCACAGAAGTTCCACATGAAAGTCTTGGTGCCTGCTAGTTAGTTGGTAATGCTGCTTATCACCTATGCTTGAATTCCACTCCCACATTAGAAAGAGAGCTTCAATTCAAAATCATTATACAGAAGAGGAAGAGGGGAAAAGCAAGAGCCAAGGATTTCCTCTCTTTCCTTGCTAGCTCAAGTTTCATTAAGAACTTAAAATATCAAGTCAGGCAGGTAATGAAATAGCCAGCTACTAATGCCATCAGACCACCAAAAAGCACAGCCTAAACAATATAAGAAGATGGCAACCATGCGTGTTACTGCTTATTTACAAAATATGTCGTCTACTTGTGGCATTATTGCAGACCGAATGCCATTTCCCAATGAACAGTAATATGTATATCTGCTGGGATTTTAAGAACATTACTGACAAAGTCAGCAATGACAAGAAAACTTAATTGGCAGTTTATAAAGATGAAAGCAACTAAAAAAAAAGATCACTTATTCATTTCCCAGATTGGAAAAACAAGGACCAAATAAAGTAAATAACACACTAACCATGTCTCTAGATATTTCCCAAGGAGCACCTATAATCACCTCATCCACATATTGACAAGCCAACACGCTTAAGCTTCTTTCATGAAGATTCATAATAGGACGGTGCGTTCCTCTTTTGGCACTGCAGAACCAGTCCAGGTAAATACCCTCAGATATTAGTCAATTAATTGAGGCTTAAAAAATGATGAATAAAAAAGTAAAATTCATCAATGTTTCCTCACAGACAGTGTAAGATTGAACTACCTTCCATTTTAGATAATATTATTGTAGCTTTCTGGTAAAAAGTTCAGCACTAGACGCTTTAAATATATAAGATGACAACTCAAGAGAACTTTCACTGAGCTACTCCAGTGTGAGGTCATTCAATTTCTATCTATAGTAGCACTACAATTCTAGGAACCATTATAGCTACACTTAAAATCAAGCAGCCAATTAAAGAGAAGCTTTGATGAACCATTTAAGCACAGGGTCATCCAAAATTCTCTGTGTGGTAAAATGTACAAATAGAATACTAAGAACCATATGATTTTGAGAATATACAGCTTCCAAAGGTATCTTCCACAAAACTCTGTATTCTTCCCTTGAGTCTTAACATCTGCGTAGTAAATCTCACAGAGCAACCAAATTCAACTTTCCAGAGCAAGTGCTTGACACAAATGAAAGTCATAACTATAGCCTGAACATGAACTAATCAAAAGTGCTAGGTAAACCATTGCCTAAAGCTAGAATAAATTTAATAAATCCCAATTTTGTGCAAGATTCTGCTTAAGACATGATCTTTTTAAGGGGTACAAGAGCATTAGAAGTGACAGAGAATCTGATGGACAATTAATAAAAGTGTTCATTATGATAGAAGTGAGCAGACAAAGTCAGCTTGCTAGATAGGCAAACATATTGTTTGTGAGCATATGTCAATCAATGTGTCGTGCATAAACCCTTTCAACTACTATGCTACCTTGTGCCATGCACATGCCTGTAGTATATTTCAGATACATTAGTCTTAAGCTGGAGTTTCGCTCATTCATATAAGAGAAGCACATATCATGCCATGGTGCTATCCACATTTGTGACTTGCACTGTGAAGCACAGATGTATGCCTAATGTCTTTTATACCTACATGCTAGAAAATGAACCTCATTTGGAAGATTTTTGCAAATGGCTGCAAGATCAGAATCTCACATTTTTAATGCCCAAGAAAAAGATGTTAGAAATGTGAAAACCTAGAACGATAGCCAAGAAACCCTGGTGTTTTGAAACTGAAAAACTGCATGTGTCTGCTTGCAAAGCATAAAAATAAGCATATTATAAAATTTATCATTTTTTACTCATTCTCATGGTCAATAAAGTTAATTTGTTCTAGAATTGAATAGAAAAATTCAAAACCCTTGAATTTCATAAAATTGTAAAGCATGCCAAAAAAATTGTATTTAGGAAGATTGTTGACAGGGCCAACTTCTTAAAAACTAAAACTACCCCATAATTTGTGGATCTGACAAATATATGGAGGGGGTAATGTTGGGAAATTTGCCTTGCTTCTTTATTTCTTGTGGGATCCACTTCTTAAGAACTAGAGATGTCCTTTAAGCCTTAGGATTTTGAGACTTTTAGAGAGGGGTGCTCTGGAAAATTTGGCAGTTTCTTTAGAGCTGATTGATCCACTCCAATTAAATACCTTTACAATGATGGGATCCACTCTAATTGGATTCCTGCACTCTAAGAATTTCTTCCAAATATGCCAATCGTACTATTTGTTTAATTGAATAAAAACCCACTAAGATTCAGTTTTACCGCTAATTTGGTTGGAATTTGTTGTTAGAAAGTAGCAATACTGAGTTAGACTTAGGATCATAAAAATGGATCTCATTCCCATCTGTGCTACTACCATCTTTCCTATGACCTTTCAAAACACTAATGAATAAAGAATATGAAACTCACTCATGGTTTGTTGACATGATAGAATTTGATCCTAATTCCAAATTAAATTTCATCTGTTACTTTTTATAGTCCAGAATGTTGTTTTTTTCCTGGTTTTGAAATTTTCATTCAGCTTCCATATTTCTTGCCCAGGGCTGGTGGGAAACACAACCTTGGGAATTGCATATCAATACCAACAACCAACATTCTAGCAGTGTTCCCGACCAAATGTTAATAAAATAACCTGTGGAGCATTTTCAAATCTTTTGAATACTACAAGATGAAATAAATCAAGGAGCAATTATAATTCATTCTCAACTCAACATCTTGCATGGTGCAGGAATTCATCCTTCCAGGTTTAGAATTGTTAGGCTAGTCTTGTTCAACTTATATTTTCCCTTTTTTTCTCCCACGCACAGAGAGATATTCCTAGTATATTCATCAGTGAAGTGCCCCCCCCCCCCCCCCCCCCAACACACACACACACACACACAAAAACACAAAAAAAAAATGTTTATATAATAATACCATGAACATCTGTTATTAGTATTATTATTATTTCACTCCATCATGGAGATAAACATACCTAGAGTAATAATAGAGGGCAGGCTATTTTCTAGTGCTGGAAGCAGAATACTTTCTTTTTTCTTTTTCACGTTAGTATACAACACATAATATAAATCTGTATGCAGCAAAGTAAATTCCATAAAAGCAAAGACAAAACCAGGAAGTAGGAAAATAAAGAGTAAAGTTAACAGAAAACAAAGAGAGCTACCTGACGGTCTGGTCATTGTGTATTCCAACAAGAAGAAAATCTCCAAGCGCTCTAGCAAGCCTGAGAATCTAAACGACAGATAGCGGTTATTTTTCTGATGGAGGCACAAACCGATTACTTTAGCCAACTACACTCAGTCAGATGGAATGAACTAGACAAACTCTTTGCACCAAAACATACAATCCAGGACAATACCCGCTAGTAGGAAAAATAGCTTTCTTTCCAGTCTACTTGTCATAAGCTACTTCAATTTTTCTCCTTTATTTATTTTTTTAACTATTAAATTTACGTTGATTGACAACAAGCCCAAGGCATAAGGATGTTCCTCTGGTTTCAGCACCAAATTGGTGCAGCTTACAGTTTTTTAACATATATTAAGATCTTTATCCCGTCTTTTCTTTGTCACTCATCTACCAAGGTTCCTGCCACACTAAACTTGAACAAATTACCCATCTGTTTCCCATTCCCACAATTGGTTCCATAGATCATAATTTCACTTTATAGTTGTCATAAACATAATGATCATGAATAGGCAAACATCAATAACAATGAAGATGCTATTTCCAATTCATGAACCCTTCTTGAGTCCATATGTCATATCTCTTATCATAAATAATTGACAAATATAACAAAACAGATCGATTTTACTAAATCTGAACCATTTTCACCATGTTCTATTTCTTGTCATAACAAACTTGCATTGACATATTGACAGCTTTAATGCTTTTAATTTAAAACATTGAGTTCCAGTATCTCTCCCAGAGTCTAGCTTAAAGTCTCCTTATATTGGTGTCACCATGTAGACTATGGTGATCAGCAACCAACATCATCTTGAATATGATTCTTCGACATATCCACAATCAGTGAAAAGAAGATATCTCTGTCCCAATCCCCAGCTCAACTTCCTCCCAGTTTTCTTAAACTAGTTAGAGGATGATCAAAAGTGTGAACAAGTCAAGTAACAACAGCAAGTACAAATGGGTAATGAAAAGATGCACTTCACCCATAATTTGGCAAGAGTAACTAGAAGGCATAGGAATTGAAGGTAGATTTAATTGATTCCTTCAGAACAGAAGAACAAAAGTTCAAAGTTCAAAAACTTTGAAGGCATGGGCATGTAAAGATACAACAGGAAAAGCATTATATACCTCGACATGTCCAGCATGGAAGAGATCAAATGCACCATCAATATAAACTATGCGAGCATCCACCCCAGGCCCCTGGAATCACATGCACAAAAAGTTTGTCGAGAAATGACATTCGAGATATCAATGATCAAATAATATTGACCCTAAGAAAACAGAAAAAATCACATAAAAAATTATTTGAAAATAAATCTTCGTTCATTGTAAGCAGTAAAGTTATCCACATCCACGATTGGGTTCAAATAAACATTTGATTGAATAGCAACTTCACCAGCTGCCATTACTTGATAAATGGCGGTTAACAACAGGTAACAAGGTCCTAACTTTTGTAATAACATGCACAGGACAGAAGTCCCACAACCAAGAAACGCACAAACATTGCACAAATGCTTCATTCTTCTTTGAGATGAAACAAGTGCCCCCTTACTTTCAGAACCGGACTCCACACAGCAGTGATACATAAATAAGTGCAGCAAAGAATCATTTAATTCAAAGTGAAATTCTAATGAAATTAGTGTTAATGAGTAGTAGATAGATAAATACCTTGCCATTGGAGAACTGAACAATTCTGCGTGACGTAGGTAGGAAATGAGAAACCCGAGTTCCACTTCCGGATCCACCCTCTTCCAATTTCTGTCTGTGTCCGTGGCTAAACTGCCTTTGCAATGATGAATGATTGTGACTGTCACTAATCGATCTCTCTCGCGTACACAACAGCATGCGGCCTATTCACACCAATTTTCATGAAATTTAATTTCAATATCTTGAAAGTTGAAACCCTTAAAAAGTAAATAAATAATTATTTACCGACGATATCAGTGCTGGAGACGCCTTCAGTGCGCTTAATCTGCTTGTAACGGCCAGCTTTCTTAGCGAGCGCATAAGCATCGGTGCCGTCAGGGAGAACGCAAGGATCATCTCCGTGAATAATATAATCAATATTATATTCATCAAAAAGTTTCTTCATGAAGTCTTCAGTAATAGCATAGGGGGCATCCGAAATCACCTCATCCACCCATTTCACCGCATTTACCATAATCATCCTCTCGTGGAGAGGCGTCACCGGAGGACCTTTATTGGCTATGATTTCGGCGTCGCTAACAACGCCGACCACCAATTGATCTCCGAGGGCGCGTGCTTGGCGGAGAGCGTTGCAGTGGCCGTAGTGCATCATGTCGAAACAGCCGTCCATGTAAACTCGAACTGGCTTCTTCTTTTTCTTTAAAGCCAATGACCAATTAAACCTCCATTCGGCGCCGGACTTGAGATAGATGCCTAAGAGGGATACGCCAACAGCAACCACCAGACATGTGGCCACAATCTTTATCTTCTCGGGATGCGGTGCAATGTCTGAATCACCACTACCCATTGCTTTCTTTTTTCTTGCTTTCCAAAGCGAAAAGAGAGAGAGAGAGATTGTGCTTGTTATTGTAACGTCTCTCTCTTGCTGTTTTAATCCATTTCCCACCTATGGAAGCTACAGCCACATTTATTTGCTCTTGCTCGGCTGGGTGGCTCTTTTTTCCAATTATATACCGCATCTTCTTCTCTCCCACCTCAGTCCATTCTTCTTTCTTCTTCCTTTTCCCTATTGGACTCTGGGCTCTCTTCGTCGGTTCTTACATCAACAAATCAAAAGGCTTTCGATTGGTCCCACAAATCATACCCTCAGGCCATAGCCTTCCTTGGGCTGTAAGCCCATATCTACATTTATCTTAAAACTAAAATAAAAAATAAAAAGAGGATAGGAATATTGAATAAAAATTTAGCGGTGGTGGAAAGACGGAAGGAAAGAGAAAATGAAACGTAACTCTTCAGTTAGTTATGCCTTACGGAGGCGGAAAATTGAAGCGAAGCGACAGCTTGCACGCCGCTTTTTTAAATTTCTCAAATATTTTCTTCTTTTTAACAGAAAATGTTAAAAATAAATAAAAGAAAGGAAGGAAGGAATATGCTACCATACTAGGGCATTATTAGAAACGTTTTTGATAAATAAATAAAAACTTAAATTAAAAATGGTGACCAGCGTGGACTTGAATTCAATTAATTAATTCAATTTCATTCCATGGATTTGAATTGAAATTTCAATCTTCTACATTGTACGCCCGCCGCTTCTGTTCCGTTTTGATAACTTTAATCTTTTTGGGAGTGATTGGAATTTGATTCATATCGGAAACTTTTAATTATTGGAGATTAGGTTAGAAATGACATCAACGGAAGGTCTGGTGCCGATTACCAGGAAATTCCTGGCATCTTATTACGACACATACCCTTTTGCCCCTCTCTCCGACGACGTTTCTCGCCTTTCCTCCGAGATCCGCTCCATTACCTCCGATTTGCTCAAGGACGCTCCTCCCCGCTCTCGAGGTTCTCCTTTTCTTTTACTTTTTCTTATTCCGTTTTTTTATTAATCCTTTTTGTCTGAATTGGCTGGTTGATGTTTAGATGAAAGCGTACTGTTAAAAGAAGCGGAAGGAGAGGCTCCTCATAAAATCGATGAGAATATGTGGAAGAATCGAGAACATATGGAAGAAATTCTCTTTTTGCTTGATAAATCCCGCTGCCCACCGGCTGTAAGCTTCCATTTTCAATAAAATTCTTATCTTTACGTAAATGATGTACATTATCTTATAGTATTTGTTTTCTAATTGCAGCTTCAAGATGACAGTGAACTTGCTACTGTTGTTAACAAGCTGAGAGAAAAGTTTCAAAAGGCTCTGAACGCATTGCAAGCTTTCCAAACTTTGAATTCTGATCGTGTATTCAACACAGGTTATTTCTCCATACGTCAATCATTTTCTTCGTAATCTCTTCAAAGAATGCTGCATTGGCTATGTTGACTCATTTATTCTATTGAAATTGTTTTGAGTTTCTGAATTGATCATTTTATTTCCTTTCTAAACTTCTGTGGCGATTCATCTTATCTGCAACCATGATCCCATTATTTTTTTTCTGTGAACTCATGGTTGTGTTTTTAAGTGAAATTTTTATTTTTCTTGATTGCATTTCGTTTTTTAAATTACTAATCAAACACCTCATTTACATGTGTTGTGGATAATCTGTGCTCTGTAGGGTTGGCATTGCTTTTCCCTTGGAAAACAAGTGCAAAAACACAAGAAAAACTTAACTTGGTGTTGGATGCAATGTCGATGTGATTGATTGTAGAACCAAAATTGTGCCGTCAATCTTGATCAGTATGCAAAAAATGTTACTGATGTAGTGAAATTTCAAAAGGATGATGATATAAGAGTTGTTATCTTGATACTTTGAATTCAAAACATCCATTTGTTTCATATCCTTGGTCTCAATGTACTGAAGTTTTACTGTAATGATTGGTTGTAGCATTAAAGAAATGAAAGACCTGCTTAAGGTACACCAATATACAATGCATGCCCAGTTCCATAATTAGATTTTTGTGATTGTGGAGATTTTAAGTTAGCAGTGATGGCATTAAGTTGTTGCAGCTGTTCTCTTGTCGTCTTTGGGAGTTTGGGTTAATATGGGAATATTCTAATTCAGATTTTTTTTGGAAGGACCTGACATGTCTTTCAGTATGGTTCTGAACTGGGTTATTAGGTTAGAAATATGCAAGCTTCTCAGGGTTACTTGCCCAGCTGTTTACTTTCTTAGCAAATCAGGGTTTTCGTTTTGTATTCTTGCTAGCAGGTTTCTGATGAAGTTTGTAGGCTATTTAGTCACTAGTAAATTTTTATGTCCGAGTGCAAACTATCTTAAAATGGTGAATTGCATGCACTTAATACTAATGATTAGCCTGGGTTAAATTTCTAACTGTAAAACTTTCGATTTAAATTAAGGAACCAAGTTTAACTGGGGCAGTTATATTGTACTTTTCTGATGCTCAAATTTCATTATTAGGCCACTAACTAACTTTGAGTTAATGAGTGAAGAAAATACATGAAACTGTTGACATAGATTCTCTCTTCTGTTTTTATTTTTTATTTTTTTTTATGAGAATATATTCTAAGGAGTGCCTTGATACAATCAGGCGCTTTCCTCTGCCAAAGGAATAGAATTGTTGCTTTCATTAGTGGTAGGCATAGAGATGGAGATGGTGCTTGTACATGCTTCGCTCCCTATTTGGTTTTTCAATACCATCTGAGATGAATGGTTTAGGCTACTGCCTGGATTTTTGTACTGATGTTTGAATAAGGTATTTGTGGACTTGCTTTCATTCAGTCATGACCTACATGCCTCAAGATTTTCGAGGGACGCTTATCAGACAGCAAAAGGAGCGGTCAGAAAGGAATAAGCAAGCAGAGGTGGACATGCTGGTTAATTCTGGTGGAAGTATACGTGATCAATATGCTCTGTTGTGGAGACAACAAATGGATAGGTGAGGCATCTTATTTTTCATTTTACAGATTGTAGTACTTAGGTGCTCTGCACAGTTGTCTTTGGAGGGTTTCATTAGAAGATATGTGGAGAGGTGGAAAGCTTTGGTGTTCTCATTTTGTTTAGTTTTTTTATAGGTTAACCCTCCATTTTGTGCTGGGTTGCCCTTTTTACATTATTAAGTATATTGTTTATTTCTATTAAAAAAAAAAATTGTGGAAGGGGCTATCCTGTTCTGACCAAAATATCATGACCAAAATATCATATCCTACCAGGAGGAGACAGTTAGCGCAGCTTGGTTCAGCAACAGGTGTATATAAAACTCTTGTGAAGTACTTGGTAGGAGTTCCACAGGTAAAATCCTTCCTTCTCCCCATCTCCCTTTGTGATAGGTTGTTTGTTTGTTTCTTCTTCTTTTCTTTCTTTTTGGTGGTTAAGGCCAACTTGCCAACATAGTCCATCTTTGTTAGCACAGACAATGGACTTTAGCCCGTGTAAGTTTACATAATCCTTTTTTTTTCTTTTTTTTTCCGTGTGTGTGTGTGTGTGTGTGTGTGTGTGATCTAAGTATTTCCTTTTAGTCTAATTATTTTTGAAGTAGATGGTTAGCAATGTCAATTTTGTTTGCCCTTGGCAATTCTTACATGGTTAAGCATCAATATTCACATGCAACGGACATGATACCTTCCTCCTCCTATCTGATGCAGGTCTTACTAGACTTCATTCGTCGAATAAATGACAATGATGGGTAAGCCATTTATATTCTTGGAAGTATTTTGCGTTGCCTTTCCCCATTAATGCATATGTTCAGTCACTCATCAGACAAATAGATATACAGAAATGATTATGAATCTGGTATCTAATTGATAATGTTAGATCAAAATCTTCTATTTACAGGCCCATGGAAGAGCAAAGACAGCGTTATGGACCGCCTTTATACAGTCTGACAGTGATGGTTCTTTTGATTAGACTATTTATTTCACTTGCCTGGGGAAGATTTGGTGCTAAAAAATTGTAAGTTATCTTGCTGCCTTTGTTGATTTTTCTAATGTTTAGATTTATTTAGTTGCCATAAGCTAGATATATGTTTTACGGTATCTTAGCCAGTGACATTGTGACATTTTCCTTTTGTTGCTTTTCTGCCTTTGCGCTGTTGTGTATATTTAATCAGAACCAGGGATCAAGTTGCTGTCTTGGAACAAGCTGTTGATGTCTACACCAATGAGTTTGAAAGGTTCATTACCTTCATCGGGTATTGCTCCTCCTTCTATTATGACGCCTTTTCCTTCTTCTTGTTACCTTGTTACAGGATATGCGGTGCTTCTCTTACAATCATTTATGTTAGCATCATTATTGATGCTATTTATATTGATAAGAGTAGTTAGAAAAATGATATTGATTAAGAATAGAGATGTAAAAGAAAATTTGTTGAGCATAATGAGGTAAATATACCTTCAAACTTAGACTAAAACATGCTAACACATTACCAAAAGCTAGAAAATTACAAGAGTATATGGTTGTTTATATTCATTTAGATTCCCTGATGCTCAAATTTTCTAATTATGATCAAACTTGGACATGAATAAAAGAGATAGGCCTCTTATGCGCCGTTTAGTGGTGGAAAATGGTGGCTTTTTTATTAAAAGAAAAAATTCTGCTGAAGGAAAATTAGGATTTTAAACTTTCATGCAATATTTTGGAAGCAGAAAATTGCATTCCCAACTATAATAATTTATGTTTTATGTAATCTATGTTAGTTCTTATGTTGATTTGAATGTTTGTTTTGTCAGTGAGGTATTTGCAAATTCCCCTTTCTTTATTTCAGCAGAGGCTGCTGGTGCATTAGAAGCTAGGTAAGCCTTTTTAGGATTTCACCTCCTAATCAGCTTCAGTATTTTCAATTTGAACTTTTTATTTTGTTCTATTCAGAAATAATGATGACTACAAGGAGATAAATGTTCCGGCTGGGAAAACTCATGAGGTTTGTTTTAAGCACCCTTGGCAAGAATTCTGTTCATGTGTGTGTTTGTGAACACATTAATGGGTTAAGTGGAAATTGAAATGTTTTTAAATTTTCTTAGAATCAATTTGAATTACCATATTTTCTGATTCTGAAAATCAGTATTTGACAGTTTTAGCTTGTTAATTATTCCATACACTTGGGAGGAGCTTCATTTAAATTTGCTGAAAGCTTCTTTTCTTTCTTTGTTTTTTTTCTTTTTCGCCCTCTTCTGAAATGCCTAGGACCTTGTAGACCTTGTGTCTGTTAGCATATGAACAGGAATTTATAAGAGAGTTTTTGACAGTAGATTGCACTGAAGAAGCTCATTTGTGTGGTTAGATGATTGGCTTGGATTTTAAACATTTTCTTTTTCCATTGTTTAAATGCAGTTTCTGTAGCTATTAATAGTTCTTGGAGTCTCTTACATCTTTTTTCAGATCCGATGTTGCTAATGGTAATGTCATATTACTTTTCTAGGTTTCGTTGTCTGTGGAATCAGAAAACTCATACATTGCTTGGGATTTCAGTTTGATACAAGGCAAAATGAACATGGTATTATTCTGAAACTTTTTCTTGGGCTGAGTTCTTAACGCAAATTCTGTATCTGTTGCTCTTTGTGTGTGTGGTGTCGGGGGAGGGGAGGGGGATTAAATTTTTCTTTTTGGGCTCTGTTTGTTTGGCAGAAAACAACTTCCATAGGAAAATCAATTTTTGAGGAATCTATTTTTCAGAAAATTGTTTTAAAAAAAAATATTTTCTCGTCGTTTAGCGATTACATGGAAAAACTACTGAAAAATATATTCCGAGTGTTTATTTGACACAAAAAATTAAAATACGAAAACAATATGTGATTGTTACATCAACAAGTTTTAAGAAAATTTTAAAAAGGCATATTCATAATTTCATAATATAAGATACATTTAAAAAAAATTAATAAATTTTAATAAATACCGACTCTAAAATTTCAATTCAAAAAATAAAATGTACCTTTTTAACCATCAAACCAATTCATCAAAAATTACTTGTGACAAAATCAAGTCAATATTCACATTTAGTAAAAATAAATAAATAAATAAATAAAATAAAATAAAATTATAAGTAATCTTAGTATTGTTATTTTGGTTAACTCAATTAAGAATTTATTTATTTATTTATTTTATTTTATTTTGAAATTGAACTAATAATTTAGTCAAAAAAATAATTTTATAAATTATTATTTATCATTTGTAAATAATTATTCATTTGGTTTCAAAAGATTAATGTTGGAATAATTTATAATTAATTATTCACTATAATTACCAATAAAATTTTACAACTGATTAAAATTATAAATTATTGATTTAGTTGCAAATGAATAGTATTGAAAAAATAATGTATTTATTAATAAATTAATTAATTTTAATTTTTTTACAAAACATTGTAGTCTTGTAATAATCGTTTTCAATAATTTAAGTATAGTGTAAATGGTGTTTGACATAATAGTAAAAAAGTAAAGATAAATTATTAAAATATTTATTATAAAAATAATTTTAAGGTGTAAAAATGATTTTTAAGAATATTTAATGTATTAATAAATCAAAAAATCAAATATTAATAGAAATAGAAAAAATAATTAAATAATAAATAATAATTGATAACGAATAATTAAAAATTAATTTGATATATTTTAAATAAAAAAAGATAGAGAGAAAAATTGTTAAAATATATCGAGAGAGAAGTAAGTAACGCGAGAGTGAGACGAGTTCGTCAAAAAGAAAATGTTTTCCTCTTTTTAAACTAGGAAACATTTTTTCATAAATACTATATCATTTTCCGTCGACTGAAAATCACTTTTCGTTGACTTTTTTCCTAAATGCGAAACAAACACTGAAAAATGAGAAAAACAAGTTTTTGAAACTTGTTTTCTCCCAAACAAACATAGCCTTGGTAAATCTTGTTGTTCATGTTCTCAAGCCTTCCTTTGGGGATGAGCTCTATAACGTTATCTGCTGTATTTTCTAGATTAGATACTTGTTGAAGTTTATAACTTCCCAATTCCTTCTGCATAGTATGTGAGCAATCATTTTCCTCTTAGTTTTATCCATGCAACTGCAGAGGGCGGCATGAACTAAGCACATGTTTTTTAAGATCATTTTATCCTGGCCTTACTTCACACTCATTATATTCTTTTTGCAATTGCAAGCTTGTTTTCTCTGTTATTGTCTTAGGCTCTTATTTGATGCCAATATGATAGAAGTGGAACTTTCTTTACTCTCCTTATTAACATCATCTACATGGACCTGTTGTCAGTTTCCAAGATGCGGCATCAGGAAGTCAGAGCAATGACACCCTTAGAATTTTGTTGATCATTTCCATAATCATCCTCTTTTACTCATTTTTTCAAACGCAATTACTGTTTGATCCTCTCTGTTGCCCTTTAGATGAATTATTGTTGACGTTCACCAAAGTTACTAAAGGGTTGTTATGGGGGATAAAGAGGTGTTTGAAATGGGATATATCATTGAGTTAATAACTTAAAATGCAACAGAGTACAAACTAGACTGATTTCTAGGAAATTAGTATAAATTCCACTTTGTGTTCTTCCTAAGAGCAATGCCTTTTGTGGTACTATGTCTGCGTGATGCAATGAAAGTAGTTGGATACGTACTATTTTAATGGAGGTTCTTCATTTATCTAGTACCAGTTAAGTGGTTTGGGATTAGTTTGAAGCTTTAGGGAAGGTAAAGTTGGAGCTTTCTGGTTGAGCTGGTATGTTTTGGTTGTGCCTTATAATGTTGAGAAAATCTGATGTGGTCATTAAACTAGAACAGTGAAGGTCAAGGATCAGAGTTTTGATTGGCAGTTAAGGCAGCGTTGAAGTGATGTTAATATTGTCTCATAGTTTGTCTTTTTCATTTTTTGTCACGGCCTTTTTCATCTCATCATGGTTATATGTTGCTGCTCAGGATATTGGATTTAGCATGGAGTGTACAGACTCTTCAGGGAAAAAAACTGTAAGTTAAACTCAGAAATGCGCACTACTGTGTAGTGTTTTTTAATTTTCCTCAATTAGACCTTTCACTTTTATTGTACTATTAACAAAAGATTGTAGTAGACTTATTATTGCTATGGTTTCCTGGTTTTGCTTTCGTACAGAAGTCTTTAATTATTTATTTTGTCCTTGCATGTACCTTGTGGCATGGCTGGTCCTTCCACAGCTGATACTACCTTATCGACGTTATGAGTCTGACCAAGTGAGTTACTGACATTCTTACCACTCCTTTGAATATGATGGAAAGGTCTCACTCATGACATTGATGTTGTCACAGGGAAACTTTTCCACTTGCATACCTGGAAACTACAAGCTTATTTGGGATAACTCATATTCGGCATTTTTTAAAAAGGTGAGAAGGCATGCTTATGAAGTTATAAGTTTGTCAGACATCAGTATGCCACTTTTGTTAGAACCCTCAACTCTTTTTAAATGACTGGTAGTGAGCTACTGTGGCTGAGGATGCGTCCACAATTATTCTAACCATCTCGTTTTGAAATAGGTCCTGCGTTACAAGGTAGACTGTATACCTCCAGTTGTTGAGCCAGAGGAATCTGCTGGTGAAATGGGAGAATAATGGAGCCTCTCTGTTTTACCATTCTGCCAAGATGCTGTCTCTTGGTGATTTGAATTAAAATTTTATTTGTACTATTTCTTTATTTTATTATTTTTATCCTATCTGGTGAAAGAGTTTTGGTTCTTGTTTTGGCACTGCTTAATCCTTGACTACGCTAACTTGCAATGTTCTTGTTTTGGTTCCAATAATTGATATCAAATGCCAGAGCAGCCTAGCAAGTAACGAACTTTAGAGCAAAGAATATACGAGGTGCTTTTCTTTTATCCCTTTTAAATGAAGAAAAAATGTTTGGATTTTAAAGGTTATTAAAGCACAAAAGTTTCATAATGTTATTACCTCTAATGTTCCTACGTAATTAAGGATGGGTAGGTGGTGCCTACATGCATAGCTGAAATTGTCTTCTCCCAAAGCTTTATTATGAACGTGTAATGAGTGCTTCCTACGCCAAGAGGTAACTGCATATGTCAAGGGCAATGGCAGTTGATTTATGATTGTACTATGGTCTAAAGCTTGAGAATTGCATGAAGCAGTTGTGTGCTGCAGAGATAAGAATTCACAAGGTTATTCTTGAAGGTGATGCGAAGATGGTATTTGGAGCTACAAATCGGAACCAAACACGCCTTAAGGAGTTCCGCATTCGTGTATGGTGGAAAACGTGAGCACTTGTTTGGTAATGCATTTGCACTTGGGGTTGAGAGTGCTTTTGAATTAAAAAATTATTATTTTGATTTGTATATTACACGTCGAAACGTTTAAAAAAGTGGCATTAAAAAAAAAAAACCCTCGAAAAACATCAACTTAATCTCCTTTTAGCTTAGATGTACTTTTATAAAAAATAATTCTAGTGCATTATCAAACGTAGACTAATTTTGTAACAGGTGCTGCAAGAATGGGCATTGTCTTAAAGAGAAAAGGTTTCATTTTGTCCATGGGACTTGTAATTGGGCTGCCCACATGGGGCACAAAGGGCCAAGAGTGAGAATCTTGATTTTGATAAATATTTTTAATTCAAGATTGGCTCCAAAACAACTGTGAAAAAGACAAATCTTGAATACATTTTTCAAGCAGTGAAGATCTATTCATCTTCGACAAAAGGTCTGGAAAAAAATGCTTGTTAGAGACCGAAGACAATCTAGGACGCGAAAATAAAGTACAAGAGATCATTTTGAATATTCTAAAAAGAAACTGTTTCTGACTGGCACGTGGTTAAGCTTGAAATGATGCAACCAGGATGGGCGTCTTGAGAAACCCTTTCCACGAAATTTCATTCAGAGGTTAAAACTTTAACAAGTTACTTGAGCAAGGGCTAGGCTGGTGTCCGCAGCAACCAGAGTAAGGTGGCAGATAACAAGTTACTGATGCTCAGGCGGGAATTGAGAAGGGAGTATTTGATTGAACCAAGAACATTTCATAAGCATGCATTGTCTATAGCTGGATTAAGCATCCATGAAGAAATTAAATACACAATTAATTGCAACAAATATGATGATAGAAAGGCAATAAAATATTAATACATAAGTGGTCAAGTGAAGTCATAAGCCCGCTTGGCAGACTCCAGAGTATTTGAGAGTAGCATGGCAATTGTCATGGGTCCTACTCCTCCAGGCACAGGGGTAATGGCTGATGCCACCTTCGATGCCTCTTCATAGCAAACGTCTCCAATGAGACGGTAACCATTCTCACAGCTAGGGTCCTGCTCATCAACATGTCAAAATCTGTAAAATCTGGAATGCAACTCATCTCAATAAAAACAACTGCCTCCCCTAATGAATTGCCCGTTGCTTACTGGCCTTATCCCATTTGGTTGTCAAGATTAATGAAACTTAATTCATGGTTGTTTCTTTAGAATGGTTTGTCTTTCCACAGTATGTCATTCGTCCAATGAAAACATACGTCAGCCTTTAACAAAATGCAAACAGAAAAAATGTAGCATATTTACCTCAACTGGGAAAGTTCCTACATCAATAACAACTGCACCTGGCTTTAACCAATTGCCACGGACCAGATTGGGCACCCCAGCAGCAGTAATGACAATATCAGCTTCCCTGGAAATCTGTTCTGGATTCTTTGTTAATGCATGTACAATGGTGACAGTTGCGTGATGCCTCTACGAAACATCCAACAAACTATTAATAAAACAGTGCAAGTAATTTATTTATCAAAAAAAGAAAACAGTGTGAGTATTGATTATGATGAGGATTTAATTATAGCAAACATGGAGTACCTGCAATAGTAAAGATGTGGGCAGTCCAACAATGTTGCTTCTCCCAATAACCACAGCTTTTTTCCCCATGATTTCAACACCTGACCTGATTAGTAGCTCAATACAACCCTTTGGGGTGCATGGGATGAACAACGGTTCCCTTCCTCGCATTGCAAGATTCCCCATATTGAGTGGATGGAAGCCATCTACATCCTTTTCTAACTTCAGCACATTCAAAATCTTCTCCTCATCCAAATGCTGGCCCATAGTACATATGTTTTTAGGTCATCCATATCACACCAACTTCTCAAACAGGCTTGCATCAAATCCTGAACTATTTCAATGCTATACATGAGCAGCGAACTACATGACCAACTACCACAAAATGCTTTTGTCTGGTATTAGATATCTCATAATAAGAATTGTTTCGTTAGGCTGTTGCCTGAGCTTGCTGCCATTGCTAGGGCATTTAGGACAACTGGTTTATGGAGCACAACCCACAACGGTAGCTCAGGACATTTAAGACAAGCCGGTTGTAAGGAACTTTGTATGCCTAATCAAATATCTGACAGCAAAAAGCATTAAGTTTTAACATTAAGATTACCATCTCCAGTTTCAAGTTTCAATGCAGCAGACTCCTTAATCTTCAAAACAAATCACTGTTACATGGGAAATATGACAGGGCAAAGCAACAAGTATTGGCACCAAAATCAGGCATTACTATATAGTAATGAAACTCAAAATATTGCTAAGACTAGTCACGGGGAAGGAAAGCCAGATGTAGGGATTAATGTGGTATTCATGTATCCGCACCAAAGTCAGGAATGAAACCATAAGGCAGCCAAAGCATTAAAAAAAATGATGGTGAATGGAAATTACTTGGGGTAGAGGAAGCTGCACAAGAATACCATGAATAGACGGGTCCTCATTAAAAGTGGACAAAGCATGAATAACATCATCTTGTTTACAATCTTGCGGGAAGTGAGTGACAAGAGACTTGATTCCAGCATCCTCGCAAGCTTTAGCCTTGTTTCGAACGTAAGTAAGAGAGTCCCTTCGGTTGCCCACAAGAATTACAGCCAAGCCAGGAACTTTTCCAACGGAATCCTTCATCGTCCTAACTTGGTCAGCAATTCTGAACCTTATTTCATCCGCAATCAACTTTCCATCAATTAAAAGAGCAGCAGGAACCTTCTCATTACGTGTGTCTGTGTATGTATAATAATTGAATTAACAGAGATTTTCTTCGTTTCTTCCTAGCTAGCTAGTGAAAAAGGTTACAGAAAATAACTTACAGCAGTTAATAATTGGTGGGGTTGATGGAGCAGGAGGAGGAGGCCAAATGTCAGGGAGGTCAAGAGAGAGCAGAGATGAAGGAAACTTGAGAATTGGGCTGCCGTTGCTGCTGCTTATCAAACTAGCACTTGCGGTTGATGTTGTTGTTGAAAAGCATTTGTTATTTACTCTTTCACTGATAATATTAGTAATAATACATGTCCTCCTCACTATCAACATCTTCATCTTCTTCTTCCACTCTCAGCTCCGCTAAACCCTAAACCCCATTTTCGCTTAGATGTGATGATGATCAATCTTTTTGTCAGGAGAAAATCTTGCTTATGACCGACATGTCGCAATTAGCAATTGGCAATTGGCAATTACCAGCCGCCACTGATTCCAACCGGGCTTCTCTTCTCATCTCTTCTCCAGGTCTAGGAAAGTTGAATTGTGGGCTGCTAGCCCATTTTCCATTTACTAATACTGCTTCTGGCCCATATTCCAAAACCTGAGATTATGAACTCCAGGCCAGTCCACTCATTTGAGCTTCTTTTTTGCTTTCGTGTTTAGTTTGATTTTACCAACCTGGTCGCCTGCAACCTTGTAGGATTGGCATTAGCGTCATTCATGTGAGTTGTAATAATATTCGTTCAACCCACGAGTTCGCCCAGTTTCTAATTATATTATCCTATACAAAATAAAATAAAATAATACAGCGAAGAATCTAAATATTCAAACTATATCAAACCATTTCTTAATTAATAAAATATTTTTTAAAAAACTATATAATTAAAAAACTTAATCATTGGATATGCATAATAATGTTATAGCTTCTATTTTGGATTTTATTCATTATTTGATTCTCGTGTTATTGGAATTATTTTAAGAAAGTTTAATAATTTTTGTGTGTTAATTGAATTTATTTACTCTCGGTTGTGTTTTTGTTATTTTCCATCTATTATAAATTAGTTATTTTCAAACTACATGACAAATTTTCATCAAAATCTCATCCCAATATGCAACACGCGAGAGATTTAATCAATACCAAAAAATATATATATATATGAGACTTCAATTAAAACTATATGACGTGGATCAAATAATGGGTAAAAATATTTTAATTTTCAAAACATATAAAAATTAAAAATTAAAAATTATTTATTAACAAAAACTAGGAAAAAATGAAAAAACTAGAAAATTAAAAACTTAGAACATCCCCAAAGAATATATATATATATATATGAAAAATCAGAAAAAAAATACAGGTGATGCGATATTTATTTTGTTGCCATAAACATAGTTCAATTACGAGGCATATGGACATGATTTTTCAATTTTTTAGAGTCAACAAATTAGTATTATTTTTAATGTTTTTCAATTTCTTTTTATATAGGTTTTTTTGAAAGTTTAGTGTTTTGTGGGTTTTTTTTTTTTTTTACATAGAACATTTCAAAAAGAAAACTGAAATAACCCATAAAAAATATTTTTAAAAATCATAATTAATGAAAATTTTGAAAAAAAATTCATGTGCTGCAACACTTATTTCCTTGTCATAGACATATTTTAATTTATGAGGTTATATGGACATGATTTTCTCATTTTTTAGATTTGGCAAGTTAGTGTTATTACTTTTTCAGTATTTTTTACTCTCTTTTTTTATTTTTTTTCAAGGTTTTTTTTTTAATGTTTGGTGTTTTGTGGGTTTTTTATAGGCTTTCTAGAATTAATTTTCCTTTTAATGGTTGTAGGGAATTTTTGGTCCAAAAAACGACAAAAAGGATATATTGGAGAAAATATGAATAAAGGTGTATAGAAGTAAAAATTTCTTAAAAGGGTATTTGAGATTATACATCCAATATATATAAGGTAGACAAATCCATTAACCCTGCAATAAAATTAATTTTTTTTATTTTTATATGTTTTGAACATTAAGTTTTTGTTTGCTCGTTATATAGTTCTTGTATGTTTTGAATTATTTCGGTTAAACTTTCATTGTATTTTTTCATATTTGATTGAGTTATTTTACTTTTTATTTTTATTTTTTTGTTATCATTTCTCATTTAAAATGCTGTTAGTTTGTACGTTTTCTTGGCACATCACTCTCACAACCCCATCCTATCCTATATATATGACACATGTCATGCATAAGGATGAGGTTTGATAATAACATCTACATATACATACACACTAACAAAATTATAACATATAGACTATAACAAAATAAAATAAAGAGTGGAGAGATTCAATCAATATGAAAAAGAGAATGATATTTCAACTAAAACAATTTGAAAAGTATATATACCAAATAAGAGCAAAACCATTTTTATTTTTCATGACGATCAACGTTTATTTTATTTTATGATGAAAGATCTCATTGAAGTTAGTTATTTTACCTTAAAAAGATGACAATCCAATTAAGAGGAGAAAGAAATAATCATAAAAAGAAAAAAATGATGATTGGATTGCCAATTATTTACATTTAAAATCTATTTTTTAAAATAGATACACATACGAAGGTAACACACTTTTAGTATCATTTTGAAATTCGAAATCTTACAAGTCACTTTCAATCTTGTGAATTCTTTTGAAAATTAATAGTTACTTGAAAGCATTGCAAGTAATCAAAACTTTCAAATGTTATAGGCGATTTCGAATATCGTGAGTGATTTGAAAATTTTTTGAGTCACTTCGATTTTCAAATCTATGATAGGTAAATTTTCATAGAAACAAATGAAATCAAAAAGTAAAAATAAATAAAATCCTTGTGATTTTAGAGGCCTTGTTTAGGCCCAATGAAGTTGGATGTCGAATTTTAGAGCATTTGATAATCATTTCTAAAAGAAATCCATATTTCAAAATGGACTTAAAAGCTATAAGCTTTCCTTTTTTTTTTTTTGGACTTATGGAATAAATGTGAAGGATTAACCTAACCCTAATTTGACTAGAGTCTTCTTGCTATGATGTCATAACAAAATTTTCATTGGTTGAAATTCAATATATATATATCCACAGAGAGAGAAAATGGGGGTGGATGGAGGGCCTATGGCATTCTATTTTTAAGGGTTTCCTCAATGGACAAAGCATAAACAATACTTTTTCTTTTCAATTTATTAGCATTACTTTTATCTTCACTCTTTTCTCCTTTTATTATTTTTTTCCCTTTATTTATAAACGACTTGCTATTGCTTTCGATTCGTTTAATTATCTTCTTATGAATTTAACTCAACGGATCTTAACATCGAGTTACCAATGCCATTATGAGGAATGCTAGTGGTGATTGTTCTAACAATCGCTAGCAACACACTCTCTCTCTCTTTGCCATGTTTCAAAAGATGTGAAAAATGTTGTGTGCTATTAGGCTTTCTCGGTTTGAGAAGCTAGCTCAAAGAGTGACGTTTTCTCTCACTCTTATAACTACCTAGTTTTTTTCACAACCGATATAGGATAACACAATATTTTTTTCGTTCATAAATTGAATCCTAAGTTAGATATTTCTCATCAATTTGTGCGGCATTGGCACATTGAGAATTGTATAGCTCGAACTTCACTACCAATGTTGAACTAGCTCTTGGGGTTGAAAAGACCTAATAGCACTAAAAAAAAAAAATCACGGAGTTGCTAATTTGACTTTTTGTTTTTGTTTTTTGTTTTTTTAACGCCTAAATTATTGGATATGGAATCAATATTGCAACTTCGATGCTACACAATCAAGTTGCAAATTAGAAAAAAACAAGAAAATATTCAAAATTAAGAAGACAACATATATTAACCAAAGTCACCAAATAAGAAAGATCAATCCTAATATAAAGCGAGTTTATGAAAAATCATTTTTGAAAACGCATTTAATCTCAAACTTTAACAAACTAGCAAGGATCAACTTAAAAAAAAAAAAATCTTGTGTAAAAGGCATTCAATCTCAAACTTTAACAATAACTAACTATAGTTATCCTTTAGTGATACAAAACTTAAGCTAGCTTGATTTAAAAAACAATTTAGTGATCAACTAAAAACTAAATGTGCTTTGAAACCGACATAACCGAGAAAGTGATAGATTTAGACTCGGTTGATTTTTAAAACCGATTTGAGAATATCTCACTATTTGTAAATAAAAATTCTCAAACTTAAACTATTCCCTCAATTCAAGTAAAACAAAAAATCTTAAAGAAAACGAAGACTCTCCAAAAGGATTCATTGAATTTAATCCAAAATCCATAATACAAATCTTTTATAGTGACATTTTTAAAAAATAAAATTTCAAAACATATATAATGAATTAAAAATTAATTTTCATGTGATTTTTAAGAAACGCGAGAAAAATTATTTGATTTCTCTAATTTCAAGGTTTAAAATTTGTTACGAGCAAGAAGAAAATTGTTTAGATTAATTTTGGATTTGCTTGGCAACTAAAAATAGAAATTCTAGAGAAACGAGAGGGGAGAGGAGAGAGGGGAGGGCAATACATGATTTGAGAGCGTACTTTTCTTTTTCTTTTTTTCTTGTTTTTCTCTTTTCGTAAATGATAATAGTTTTATATAAATATCAATTTTACATAATACAATATAAGCCTAACAATTTAGTTGAGTCTGAAAATTCTCATATTCTCTTGTTACATGGATGCTTTTATTGAGAGAGTGTTGATAGCAATCTGTCTCAATGATTGTCTCTAGTATTGCTTTTCGATCATTCAATGAGACGAGGTATTGTTATATTGTTTCTTCAAAAATCTTATTTATTTTGCCTTTGTTGAAATCCATATAGCTATTCCTAATAAAGTCAATATAGATTACACAATCAACTCATATATGAAGAATAAAATGATTAGACAATTGTAAGAAGGAAAAAAAATCATGATTAAAATTCCCGATTTTTTTTTTACGAATTGATATGTAAATCACTTCTTTAGTTGCATCAAATCACATATTTTGTTTCGTTATATTCTTGATTTGATTTTATTAACTTGCTATACTTTGATTTATAATTCTATAACTTCGTTTTTTGTTATGTTAATTTAGAAGAAGTTGATCTGTTGGTGTTACCAAAAACCTTTTTATTAGCTTTGCAAAAAAATATTTTTGTAGAAAATTATATGTATTTTTTTTAAAAAAAAATTTCATTATTTAAACGTGTTAAGGAAAATATTTTTTAAGAAATGAATTATTTTTATTGATAGTTACACGATCATGATGATATGATGGGTGATCGTATTAAAGATATTATTTATGCGACGGAGGTAGGGATGATGGTAGAGTGGTACTAGTTATGGTTGTTTTATGGGTTTTTTTTTTTTTTTTTTGTCTTTTTTAATTAAGAAGACTTTGTAACACAAGAAATAAAAAAATAATTAGATAGTAACTTGCAAGGCAATCAAACTTTCAAACTCATAATTTAAATGAGTTTAATTAACTATTCTACATATGTTACTACTCGTTCTAAGGATATTTTTATTATTTTTTAATATAAATAAAAAGTAAAAATAAGTTGCAACTAGTTTATAAATTTTGGGAAAGGTCTACAATCCGTCCAAATTGATTAGGTTGTAAGTTTATAAGAATAATTAATCACAAAAAGGATTATCTCGGTTCAACAATTTAGATTTCTCAAACTAATTTATAATCAAAATCATTTAGTC